TTCCTGGTAGGGGCATGTGCCCAGGTTGCAGGCTAGCTAGGTGCCCAGTTGGGGTCGTGTGAAGGGTGACTGATCAATGTTTCTGTCACACATTGACATTGCTCTCCCTCCCTTTCTCCCTCTCTTTCTCCTCTCTCTAAAAATAAGTAAATACAATCTTTAAAAAACAAAACAAAACTGATGTTATCTGATTAAAAATAGAAATTAACAAAATGGCAATTTCTTATGCATCAACATAAAACATGGATTACTAATTTAATCAAAAGAGTGAGATATGCTAGTATATAATTGTTTTATATAAATATGTGTTTGATTTGTGTATTTTATTTACATGCATTATACGGTCAACCATATTAACATTAAAACTGTATTAAGCATACTGCCCTGGTGTAGCTCAGTCGGTTGGAGCATCATCCTGTAACTGAAAGGTTGAAGGTTTGATTCCCAATCAGGGCACATACTTAGGTTATGGGTTTGATACAGGAGTCAACCTATGGACGCTTCTCTCTTGCACTGATGTTTCTCTCTCTCCCTCCCTCTTCTTCTCTCTCTAAAAGCAATGAAATAATGTCCTTGGGTGAGCATTAAAAATAAAAACAATATTAAAGTTACTACAGTCTTGATATTGAGATATTGAGAAAGCACTTCCTTCTTATAATTTTATTGAGCACCTATATTTCCTGCACTCTGCTCTGTACTTGAGATATGAGGATGAGCAAAACATAGTACTGCCCTTGAGGCTCTCACAGTTTAGTAAGGCAGGTAAACACACTAACAGAGAGGTTCTGTACAAGGGTTGTGAAAGAAATACCTGAAGTCAGACGATCCCAGAAATCCTGGGAGGGCTTCATTATTTTTGCTAATTGCCCAATCACTCTTAGCCACATGGAAATATAATAGTATAATAATATTACCTCACGGGATTGTTGTGAGAATTAAATGTGAAAATGCATGCAAAGTTGCTTAGCCACTTAACAAGTCCTCAGAAATTGTCAGGTATTACCATAATGTGTTAAATAATATTATGTAATTAGATGTGCTTGGTATTTGCCTCCTTTTGAATGTAGTTAGGTGAACTGGTTTTAATTGTAAGCAGTACATGATTAGACAATCATATGGTTTTCAGGGAACTAGGTGCTCTCAATAATAACATGGAGAAAATTTTCCATCATCTTTCCATGGGAGTGGAACCTGCTGTCAATCAAAAGTCCTGGTCTGATGAAGTGCCGGAACAAATTTCACACCTCTCAGGAGGCTAGCTTTCCTAGGTAATCAACATTCTTTTAACACCTTTAATAAAAAGAGGTTCTGAACACAGAATGAATGGAGCTGATGATAATTAAGAACTTAAATTCCCTTCTCAAACTCACCTTTGCCTTCTCAGACAAAAATGAAATATTCGTTATTGTTGAGATGCCCATGTGCATGAATGCCTTTTATCAAAACCCACTAAATACCATACATAGGTAAACAACAGAAGAAGTAGCTAAAAGAAGTAGAAATGATTGCTGTGGAGGTGGGAAGAGAGGGAGAAAGGAACCTGCTATATTTTAAAAAATAGGCTTTGTAGTTATTATTTGACTTTGAAAACCACATTGTATATTACTTCCAAAACTTTTTTAAAACTAACTTTAAATAATAGGAAAGGAAATAATAAGGTTTCATGTAATTTTCTGTAAGAAATGATTATAAGTAACATTGGGGTCTCTCATTATATATAGGAGTGCATCATACACGGCATAATACGGCCATCTTTCCACCAGTCAATGAATATTATTGACACCTACTCTTTGCCAGACACTGTGATAGGCCCTGGAACAGAGAGGTACACTGAACTACAGCCTGGCAGGAGAGGGACATTCGCCAAATACGCATCCAAATAAATAATGGAAGGTTGTGAGCGAAGCATGTAGAGCAGGGATCCGGAGTTAAAATGTGGGACAGGCTTGTGGAAGTCAGGGATGAGTTCGTTAGGAATGTAACGTCTAAAAATAGAGCTCACTCTTTAGAATCGCTGGTGATTTTCTCCTTAATTCTAAAACCACTAACAAATTCAGGAAATAAAAGCTTAGTCAAACCAAATTGTTTGGTTACTTCATGGAAAATACTAAGCCGATATAAATTATGTATTATATTGCCCAAGTGCAAAGATAATATTAAACATGACTTTTCTGTTTGATCGTCTTCTGCCTCACATGGGCTTTCATTTCATTGACTCTGTTCAAAACAAAACCAGCCACCTCAGGAATGATTTTATCCTAATCAGCATACATACAAAATATATACTTAATTACAATTCCTTACATGCACTGACCAAGAAGATGGGAAAAATGTAGAAGATGGCAAAATGCCAAGCTTCCTGTCTTGTCGGGGAGGGATGCCTGGCTCTGGAATGATATCTTACTTATAGACACAGCCCTTCTCCATTGTTTGCCTTTTGTTTTTTGAGAGATTGAATGGGGAAGGGGGATTTCAGCACACAGGTGAAGCTGCTTGTTTGGTAGGAGGCATGATATTACACCACTCTATAAAAGTGATATTTTCAGACCTGGCCAGGTAGCTCAGTTAGCTAGAGTGTTATCCCCATATGCCATGGTTGCAGGTTCGATCCCCAGTCAGAGCATATACAAGACTCAACCAATGTACGCATGAACAAGTGCAACAGCAAATCAGTGTTTCTCTCTCTCTTTCTCCCTTCCTCTCTGGAGTACAAAAAAAAAAAGATTGTAGAGAGTGTTTCTCCATTTTTACTTTATATTAGAATATTTACAGAAACATCCACTCATTTATTTTAATCTTACATAAACAAAACCTTGGTGTAAAAAAAAATCAAATCTTTCTATCCATGGCAAATGGAATCTGCTTGAATCCTCTGGCTGCTCTTTAGTAATTTCCTAAAGAATGACCATTTTTTCCCTTTTCATGTTTTTCTCAGGCAATCAGTAAATAATTTATTCACCAAATGTAAGAGAATGCCCTGGCAGAAATTTCTGGGGAGAGCTGGTGTGTTCTCACTGGGGCCGACGGTGGATGTGTGCTCTGGCTAGCTGCATTACAGCAGTCGGCGAGGGTACAGCAAGACGCCCAACTATGCTGTACTAATCTGCCTCACAAGGAATGAACTCATCGACACAAATCATTTGATGCAAAATAAATAAACTCCTTTAGTAGAACATTGTCACAGGATCAGAATGTTCTGCTTTTGGAAAGCAAGGAATGAGCATCATGCAGCTTCGCCGCAACAGCGGGAGACCCCTGTTCTGCGGTTCACTGTGGCATCTTTCGGCCAGTGTTTCCTCTTAGGATGAAACACGTCCAAATGTTAGCTAAGCCAATCACAAGTGATATCATTCAACGAGCTCTCTGATTAGAACCATTGGTCATTAGATGAAGTAGAAACCCAAGAATTCGCTACCTTTCAACAAAGTCATATGTTAGTTATGCGAATTATGTCATAATACACCCTCATAAAAGGACAAATAAAGTAAAACAATAACAACATTTCGCACTTCTTCGGGTCTTAGTATGAACCAGGTACTGTCAATGGTTTACTAATGGGCTTTCCCCTCTAGATCATAGATGAACTAACTGGGGTTAATTGTAATTAAAAAGTAATATGGCCCTGGTTGGTGTGGCTCAGTTGGCTGGAGCGATGCCCAGTAATGAAAATGTTGCAGGCTCCTTCCCAGTCAGGGCACATACCTAGGCTGTGGACTGGCCCGGCGCAGGCTCATGCCACCACCCCTCCATCAGGGCGCACTTGGTCCCTGGTCCGCGTGCAGGTCCCCAGAGTCCAGGCTTGTGGGACAGGAAACCGGTTGGTGCTTCTCTCTTGCCTGGTTGTTTCTCTTTCTCCTTTCCTCTTCCTCTAAAAAGCAATGAAAAAAAATGTCCTCAGATGAGGATTTTAAAAAAAATGATACAGTACATATGACCACTCTCTTTAATTTCAGTATTAGAGCAGAGAAAAAAATAAATATCTTTTCCTCTTCCCCTTCTAAATTCTCAGCTAGAGCTCCTGTAGCAAAAGGCAGATGAACGCCTTTATTTTACTTTTTATTTACATCAACTATAAACAAATAAATTTCATATTATAAATATCACATTTAAAATGTATACTAATTTTTATTTAAAGAACAGAAAAGCATACAAATTTATTTGATACAAGTGTTAAATGACACAGGAGCCTTCATAAAGAGGGCTTCATAGTGAAAACCTGAAGAAAGGGTTAAAGGTGAGTGTTTTCACACGAGGTTGCAAGAAAAGCAGAGAGTCCTAGAAAAGTGCTTTAGCCCAGAGGGGTTGGGAGTAAGGGTAGTAAACCGGGAAATGTAGCAAGTCCTGTTTTTGCAGATTCCTCTCTGCTCCCTCTGGCTTCAGAGATAAGGATGTTCCTTTGCTCTGGGCGCAGGAGAGGCACCTCTTACATATGGGTTTTACGACCTGCTTCAGGAAAAAGTCACAAAGGCCCTTTGAGCCCTGACCTGTGCTCAGTGGGTCCTGCAAAGGGGAAGGTTGTCCACTGGCTCCCAGTCAGGGCACATGCCTGCGCTGCAGTTTCGGTCGTGTCGGTGTGCACACGGGATGCAGCCTGTCGATGTTTCTCTCCCTCTCTTTCTCCCTCCCTGCCCCTCACTCTAAAAAATAAATAAATAAAATCTTTTTTTTAAAAAAAGGCCTTCCTATACCCACTGTTTCTCAGATTCCTTCTGCATAAAATGTGTAACAGGCTCAAGTGCCATGTTTGGGGGTAGCATGTCCTGCAGCCCGTTGGAATCTATTGTTGGATTGAGGGGGGAAGGCTGTGAAGTAGTACCTACAAATAAGAAAATAGGAAATAGGAAAACACTTACAAACAGAGGTAAAATAGGAAATAGGAGACAGAGGAGGAAATTGCAATAGAAATAGGTGCCTGTATCAGGTACTGAGCTTCACTTAATTGCCTCATTTCATCCTCACAGCTGCCCAATAAAGTAAATAGTATTATCCTTATTTTACAGGTGGAGAAATTGAAGCTTAGAGCTTTTAGCTAATTTCCTAAGGCCACACAGGTAGGTGAAAAATGGCACTGCAATTAGAAACCAAGGTCTGTCTGACTCCAGGGCTCTCTCATTTTTAACTGCTATGCATTACTGCCCAGAAATGCGTGTGATTGTTTACATGGAAGCGCTTGCTGAGAAGGGACTGGTGGGAAAGAGGGAGGCTTAGCAAAGGGAGAGAGCAAGGCGACAGAAGAGAAAGAACAGAGGGGTATGCAGAAATAAAACTCAAGTCGAAGTAAACACCCTAGAAATAGTTAGATATCCTCAGGGCGAGTGGAGGCAAGGAGAGTCACAGATTAGATATAACAGCAACTTCTTTGGGGCTGCTGCAACTTCTCTTTATCCCGCTTTGCTCAGGCGGATCGTATCCTCAGGCCAGGGAAGACATTCTGGGCTCTCAAATTGCACTCAGGCAAAGCACCACATCTAACCAATTATTCTGTTGTTTTCGGACGGCTAGAACATTGGTTCAGCTCCCTTGCTCTGTCTGAGTAGCTGCAGTGGGGATTCAAGTGGCCTCCGTCTAATTGAAAAAAAAAAAAAAAGTGGGGGGTGGGGAAGGGAAAGCTGAACGTATTTGATTACTGTGTCAATGTTCTAGTTGTGCAAAACAATGACAGTAATCTTGCTTATTGGTCCTCATTTCCAACAACCGTATTAAGGACCTGGGTTCTGACACCCCGCCTTTAGAGAGAACAGACAGGGATGAAGGGAAGAGAGTCTAGGGTCCCTAAAGAAAGAATTTCCCTAACTTGAGGCGGCATCAGAATTCCTTCCCCGGAAGCCCTTCCCTGCTTGCCTGGTATTGCACTTGAACACACACACTCCCAATCCCCCCACCCTCCCACCATTCCCCTAAGTGAGCGCTTCCCCACCATGATGTTCGGTTCCGTCATTATCCTGGGAGTGGAAGGTAAATTGAGGTTTTGGAAATTGAATGGGCCAGAAAGAAACTTCACGGACACTTAGAAAAAAAACTTACCACATCCCCACCCTTCTCTCTCTACTCTCAGTTCTCCTCCCAAAGTCAGACCAACACTTTTGGACTAAAGACTTAATAAAGATAATATTGTTTTAAAGCACCAAGCTCGTCCATACAGGGACCAGATTGGTGGTGTGAGAATGGAGGAAGTGGGTGAAGGGGGTCCAAAGGTACAAACTTATAAAATGAGTAAGTCCTGGGGGTGTCATGGATGGCATGGTGACTATCATCAATAACACTGTATTGTGTGTACTTGCAAATTGCTAAGAGATTAGATCTTAAAAGTTCTTATCACAAGAAAAAAATTTGGAAACCATGTATGGTGATGGATGTTAAGTAGACTTACTACAGTGATATATTTTACAATATATACAAATGTCAAATCTTTTTGAGGTATATCTGAAAGTAATATAATGTTATGTGTCAATTATACCTCAAGGAAAAAAGTAAGAAAATGGAAAATAAAATAATTTTATACAGGTAAATTGTAACTCATGCACAAGTATAAAATGAACATGTTTCAAAGGTTTTTACTTAACCTATTAATTATGAGAGAATCCACAAAACAGTATATTTAAAAGGAGAATTCAAAGTATCGCATGTATATACACACCATCAGGAATGCAAAGGAATTTGTAAACAGTTGCAAAACAGGCCAGTAATAATCAGTTGCATTCCACTGGACACAGTTTATTTGGATTTCTATGGACAAGGATCATTTGCAGGAATGTAAGTTGTATACAACTTACACAACTGTAAAATAAAACACCTCACAGACAACGGCAGAGAGAACCTGAAAAGATGCACCAGGTCGAATGCTCAGGAATCTTTTTGCCCATTTTGAAGTCCTTTACAATTTTTCCTGACAGAGAGACCCTACATATACTGGAAAAAATTATGTTATCCCTCTTCATATGTAACACAATACAAAACATACTAAACAAAAACCCGCAAATTTCATAAAGAAAGTAAAATATCTCCTTTCCAGAATTCTGTATTGCAAAGCTATTGGCTTACTCCTTCTGTGCTACTGTTCTAACTTAGTCTGCTTTTGGAGTAGTCCTTTCCTCCTACCTGGTAGCTTAGCTCTCGGCCACGCTGGTGACCTCAGTGGTAAAGTCCTGTTATATGCCCAACCTCAGGAGAGGCCAACAGCTGAGCATTAATAAAATAATTCTAAAAAGAAAATGGGCCCTGACTGGTGTGGTTCAGTGGATTGAGCGCTGGCCTGCGAAGCAAAGGGTCACTGGTTTGATTCCCAGTCTAGGGCACATGCCTGGGTTCCGGGCCAGGTCCCTCATAGGGGCTGCACAAGAGGCAACCACACATTGATATTTCTCTCCCTCTCTTCTGCCCTCCCTTCCCTTCTCTAAAAATAAATACATCTTTAAAAAATAAAATAAAGAAAATGGAGACACATCACATAGCACTCTCACTGTAAATGGGGAAAATATCTGAACTAAAGCCCAACCAGTAGTTGTTTCTCAGAACACCGACATGCCATAAATCCCATCTCCCAGGGCACCTCTGTGTCGAGGCCACAGCGCTGGTTTTAGTGCTGACGTCCTGCCTCAGTGCGTCGAGAGGTTGGGCCGTGTGGCCCTTTAAACATGGTATGCATTGCCTCCTTGTAAACACTTCAGGTATTTGTTGGCTATTTTAGTTAAAAGGATAATTTTTATTATTCAATGTAAAATGACTAATTAGGAATCTAAACAAATTATTTTAAATGAAAGTTGCCCAAGGAGCCAGCAGCTCTTTTCATTTGAAAATGAGAAGGTGAGGGCCAGACAAGATGATGAAAATGAAAAATTGAAGGCTCTGGGTTATACTTTGTCGAACTTTCTCTGATTCTGAGCTGCGAATGGAAATGCAGAGTGTAGTGAAGGAGACTATTAAGAGTGCCCTGAGACGACAGGAGTGTGTGTCTTAGGATGACACTTGCCTTTAGGACTGAGTCCTGTTAGTCACCAGCACTGCCAGCAAGCCGCCAATGTTTGCCTGGAGGTCACAATCACAGCAAGGCAGCTGTTTTGCAGTTAGCACACCCGCGTCCATTAAGACAAAACTGATGCAATGTATTTCCGCATCTATTTAGGTTCCTCTCTGTTGTTCCGATCCTGATTTCTGCATTCTGACTCCTGACTCATCGTTTCCTGCAGCTTCACTCATTTCTAGTTTCATTGAGTGAGTATTGACACTTGGGTAGTAGATAAGCTATATTTTCTGACGTGTGGCCTGTTCATATAGCCTGTGGACCTCTTCAAGCGTGGTAGAACATTGGTTCTCCCAGTTTCAAGTCAGCCTGATCCTATGTGGTGAGTCCTTCCCTCCTAGGCCCGCAGCTGCCGCTGCCCCCCTTTCCTCAAGCTCATGCTAGATACCTAAGTGCCCTGAAGGGCTTGCATTCAAAAAGCTCTCTGCCGCTCCCTCCAGGAATCTAGCAGCGCTAACTCTGACATTTCCTGGCTCAGGTTCATCAGTTAATGACTTTGTTGCTCAAACAATTCAGGATTCAGATTCTCCTGACTTGCAGTAAGAAAGAGAAAGCAAGCAAAAAGCCAAACCAAGTTTAATGCTGGCTGTAATGGTAGAAGCTGGAGTTTAGTAGCTCAAATTGTTAACCTATAGGAAAACCATATTTATTTTAGATCTTTCTCGCTTGTTCCTTTGGAGATATTTATTGGCCATATTCCATGTTCTAGGAATTGTTCTAGCAACTAAGGATATAACAGAATAAAAAGAGAGAACGTTTTGGTACCCCGAGTTTACACTGTACACCTAATGAGGTTTCTTAGAGTAAGGAGGTAAATAATTAATGACTTAAGAGTTCAGTTTTATGGAGGGGAAAACTGGAAGGGTCTGATTGGTATGCTAATGTATGTTCTCTCAGTTAATCACAGACAGAGTAACCATTAAACTTGGAGCAGCAACTTGAAATAAAGGCACAGTGCTCCAAAAGGTATAGTCTTGCAAATCTCATAGTTAAGCAATAACGAACATCCTGGCCCCCATTTCCCCCCTCCAAATTTTATTATGAAAAAACTCAAATATTCAGAGAAAGTGAAAGAATAGTGCAGAGAATGACCTTATACCTATTATCTAGATCAATTATTAACATTTTGCTATTTCTGGCTGACCCGTAATTCTTTATATGTAATGTGTATATATTACATATATATTACATACATATATCACATATATGTAATATATATTACACATATACATTACATATATATTACTTATATATTTAAATTTTCTTATTTGAAAATAATTTTAAGATTACAGAAAAGTTGCAAGAAAATGCGAAGAACCCTCGATGCCCCCTTTACCTAGCCTGTAATAGTTTTGCTCCATTTGCTTTTATATTCTTTCTGTGCATGTTTGTATGTAGTTTTTCAGAATCTTTTCCCCTATATATTTCAGTGTCTATTTTTTAAAAAACAAGGACATTTTTTTACATAACCACTGTATACTTATCAATTACAGGAAATTTAAAATTGATTTAATGTTTTTATCCAATCTACAATCCATATTCCAATGTTGTCAACTGATCCAGTAATGATCCCTTGAGCATTTAATTTGTCTCCCATACGGGATGCAGTCCAGCACCCTGTGTGACATGTACTTGTAAGGTCTCTTCCATTTCTTTTAATTTGGAACATTTCCACAGTCTGTCTTTGTCTTTGATGACATTGGCTTTTTTTTTTTTTTAGTTTTTGCTAATTTTATTTTTTAATTTTTTTATAATATATATTTATTGTTATTCTGTTACAGTTGTCCCAATTTTTCCCCCTTTGCTCTCCTCCTTCCAACCCACTCCCACCCCAAGAAGGAAACAAAACTTTTAACAAATGTGTTCCTCATTTGGAAATTATTTGATGTCCATTCACGTCACAGGTTGAGTTATCCTAGAAGACTCTGAGACAGAGTTTACTAATCAGATGTTTATTAGGTTGTGCCCTTGCGATCTGTATCTGTCTGTGGAAGGTGGGTGGGTGGGGAACAACTGGGCAGGGGGAGAAATTGAGCTGCAAGGTGGGACTGACAGCCATAGCAGACTTGAAAGCTAGAATGGGCCCATCAGAAAATTGTCTCCCATTGGACCAGAACTTGCCAGGCCTTGCACTTCCATGTCAGTGTTCATTGAAGGACATGATCTTGGGCAAGGGCAGGGCTGGGGGGGGGCTTCATGTAGTAGCAGCAGTCCCTTCAGGGCTGCTAGCTGTAGGCTCTCTCTTGCCTGCTTTCCCACGAACTAGGGCAACAAGTTTTTTCTTGAAGGAGGAAATGCACTTCTGTTCATCATATTTCGTGATAAGAATCAGGGTATACATTCCCAGCTTGACAACTACCATGTGTATATAACTTTTCTGAATCATTTGAAAAATTTGTAAACTTCCGCCCTAAAAAACATCAGCTCTCAACCCCCCAAAAAAGAACATTCTCCAACAAAACAATATCATTAACACACCTAAGAAAATGAAAAACTTTCTTAATGATATCCAATCCATATTGAATTTCTACAATTATTCTCAAAATACCTTTCATAGCTTTTGTTTTTCTTTCATAGCTTTTTAAAATCAGTATCTAATCAGTGGTCACATATTACTCAGTTTTTGCATCTTTTCTCTTAATCTCGAATAATCCCCATGTTTATTTTTCTGTGACAAACATTTTCTAAAGAGACCAGGCCTGGTATCTTGAAGAACCTCCCTACTTTTCAGAGTGTTTTTCAAGTTTGAAAGTCATAAGACAATGTCATAAGAACTGAGAAAAATCCCCTTTGCTTTTTTTATATGACTTTAAGTACTTAGCGAAGATAAAACAATTTTGAAGGATTTAGGTAGGCTATGTTTGCTAGAGTAGAAATTGAACCCTGCATTTGTACTCATTACTAATTAAATAGACTCATGGAGAAGTAAGGACATACAATGATTTATTATACCAATTTATTATACATTTATAAAATTGAATTAACTCAATATGTGTGCCTGTGTGTCCAGGTTCCACTTAATCGTCATATCTTGGACAACGAACGAAACAAAATTAAAAGCTGCTTAGTTTTTTTTTGGCAATTTGCAATTTGCCAGTGAGAACAGTAAATGAAAGAATCGTGTAATCTTATCCAATCATATTATATTGTACTGCAATCATATTATATTGTTACTAAAGCTTCTTTAGTCTTTAAATGTAGCATTATCATTATAAACAGCTTTAATCCTCTTAAAATATGACTCATTCATTATAACAAATTAAGAAGGATATGAGACACAACAATCTTTTGGATTATTTCCAAATAGGCTTCTTTAATTACTGTCCTTCCATTGAGCTAGTTAAGAGTTTTCTGATCAAAAATGATTACATCTCTGCTGCATATTAGTAAAAATATTTTTTATAACTGGTCAGTGGCCACCACCTTGTCAACCAGCAAGAGTGTCTTCTCTCCTTCCTCCTTTCTTTTGTCCTTCCTTGTTCCTTTGTTCCTTTTTGTATGGAGAGAATTTACTGTTAAAACTATATTATAGAACTCATTTTCTATTCATACTAAGATATACTCCATAAAAATTAAGTGGGAAAAAAGCCAGCTGGTTAGCTCAGTTGGTTAGTGCATGATGCTAAAAATTAAGTGGGAAATTTTCTTTATAAAAGAGTATACAGCCCTGGCTGGCATGGCTCAGTGGACTGAGCACTGTCCTGAGAACCAAAGGGTTGCCAGTTTGATTCCCAGTTGGGCACATGCCTGGGTTGCAGGCCAGGTCCCCAGTAGGGGGCACATGAGAGGCAAACACACATTATGTTTTTCTCCCTCTCTCTCTCCTTCCCTTCCCCTCTGTCTAAAAAGAAATAAATGAAATATTTTTTGAAAATGTAAAAAGACTATACAATTTTATATGGGAGAATTGTAAAACTAAGGATTTAATGCTATGAGTAGGATAAGATATAATAGAGAACAGAAAGATTTTGCCTGTTTGAGCCAATCTAGTTTGATTCAGCACCATTCTGTGAGTGCCCTTTCTGTGTAAGCCCCTGTATTGGACTGTTTGATGAGCCACAAATTTAACTGATTTATTGGTCAATTCATTCATTCATTCATTCATTCATTTGTATAGTCTCTAAAGCTAAAGCGAGTTTAGGAAGGAGAAGGAGGTGGTAGAACAATGTATATTATTCCATAGGAGTTTAACTATTAGGTGAGTTATAATCTTAAATCTCATAAGCCTAATCTTTTAGAACACCATGCTCTTTGGGCCAACTGGTTTTCAGATGCACAAAGTACACCTATTCAAAGTCCCTATTGAGGTGACATTAGTGAAAGTAACAAAGTAAGTACCTCAAACAATTCTTTCCTCCACAAAAGCAACAAAAAACTGGCAACGTGGCCAGAGTCTACTTTTTCAGAACTCTGGAAATTACTCAAAAGCTAGCAACAAGTGTTTATTTAAAAAGTGAAAGCTATGGCTGGTGTAGCTCAGTGGATTGAGCTCAGGCTGCGAACCAAAGTGTCACAGGTTCGATTCCCAGTCAGGGTGCATGCCTGGGTTGCAGGCCATGACCCCCAGCAACCACACATTGATGTTTCTCTCTCTCTCTCTTTCTTCCTCCCTTCCCTCTCTAAAAATAAATAAATAAAATCTTTAAAAAAAAACAGAAAGCAAAAATAGCATGCTCTGTTTAAAAAAAATAAAATAAATAAAAAGTGAGAAAGAGAGGAAGAAAGCAAGGAAGGAACAAAGGAGGGAGGAAATAGCTCAATCTCCGTGAGCTTTGTGACATTTTTAACTTGCCCTAGTCCATCCTGAAGTCTTCTGCTTTGGGATAGTCTTAAAAACTCAGTCTGAGTTCCAGATGAGCACTGGCAGCCTGGCAGTCTCTGGGAACAACAGAAAGGAGCTGGAGCTCCATCAAAGCTTCATTCTCAGAGAATTAATGTGTGACCTGTTTAGTGGCTCCCAGAAAATCCTCATTTACAAGACTGTCTATATTGGCGCTAACTCAGAGCTCACCCATCGTAAAAAGCTTTCTACCCATAAGCATTTGTCAAAAATAATTACAAGCAATTACTTAACTTTGCAGCTGCTTAAGGTGATGGATACCAAGTGGGGGGAGGCATTAAATGAACCAAAAGCATTGAAAGAAAAATTGGAGAACAAGACATACAGAGGGGCTTTGGAAACCTCTGACAC